GTGTAAATTTATTTACCCGATAACGTATCCCGAATATTTTGGCAGTTTTGCCTAGATCATTCGCTTGTGCGGGGAGGGAGGGACAGTGCGCCTATTATGTGTTCGCGGAGATGGAGAGAAAGAAGGTAAAAGCCGACAAGAACGCGAGCTAGAAGGCGAGGAGACTGCCGCGAGAATTTTCGCGTAAGCACTTTTGCAGCTCGGCCTCTGTCGAGTGAAACGACTTTAATTAGGCAACTCGCTAACGACCCGACGGCAACATAAATCACCGTTAAAGCTCCCTCGGCTACGCCAGGAACCACCCTCGTTCTCGTCTTCTTGATCTTCCTCTCTCTTTCTCTCTCGGTTTCTCCTACGTTTGCCACCATGTCACTCCTGCTCCTTCTGCTCGTCGCGACGGTCCATCATCCATGGTGAGCGTAACGCTCCGTTACTTTATTCCGGAATATGTCCACCAATGAATTACTTCTTTCGAAATATTGTAAAATGATAATCCGTACTGTTTCCCCAAACAAGATCCCGCACATCGCCATTATTGTCTTTACAAAGTATATTTATTTTCTAAGTATTGTTAATTAAGATTCAGGAATTTATTATACAATGTTTTAGATTTTTAGAAAATATGAAGAAATCTAATAGAGCTAGCTAAAAAATTAAAAAAAAAAAATAGTTTCTTACGTAATATATAATACATGTAAATATATTCTAAAAAGTATTTTCTTTACATTTGAGACATTCTGTATTTCTCTTCTCTGCAACTAATAATAAGACAATTAGCCTTTCTTTTGCACTTTGCCCCAAGACTTAAGAGTGCTTTTTAAATCGATTGCAATGCAACGTTCTCACGCACGCACGCATGCATGCACGAGCTATTTATGGAACGATTATATTGTATCTTAAGGCCATTGGTAACACTTGTTCTTTAAATATCTTTTTTACAATTCCTTTCTTTAGAATTTTCATGATGAAAACAAATAGCTACGTGTGCTATTTTCTGCTCAGTAATTATGTAATCGCGAATATTTTTTGCACCCGCTATTAGGTCGCAATTTGCATAAGACAATATTTTTTTCTGTCTCTCTTTTTCTCCCTCTCTGTGTCATTTGTTAATGTTAAACATTTACAATTGAGATTCTTCATTTAATTACGTGCGCGTTTGCTGTAATTGATTAATTATCCTAATTATTATATCTACTTATTGCCATCACGTTTATGTATAATTTTGAATGTAACAGTCAACACGCATACACACAATATTCATGCTTTTAAAGCACGCAGCTTAAATAGAAAAGATCTAGTTTAGATAATTTGACCAGAAAATTTGATAAAAGCATTTAAATCAAGCTTCTTTTAACAAAGCACAAATTTATGAGATTAAAAATTTATTTCCTTTCATACTCATCTCGCTTTATTTATGTTTTTATGTTATTCATACTTGGCTGTATGAATATAAAAAATGTGATGTAAAATTACATTCTCGCAATATATTACTTGAAATAAAATATGAGCTTATCTTTATTACGCTTAGAATCACAATTGCAAAGTTCATATGTGCCTTCAGACTAACGATTAGATTATATTTTTCTTGACCTCTTTTTTATCTTATCTGTTTTTTTCTTCGCTATTTAATGTGTTAATTGGAATTCTCTTTATTTCTCTTATTTTTACTACAAAAACTCACGAATCGAGTAAACATAGACGAAATTCGCAATCAAGGTCTTCGCATACGCGATCTCTAATCTTATCGTCGGCGTTCTCTTCTTTCGAATGTGTTCTCCATCCACATCGTCGAAAATTGCTTGCGTATCCCGGGGCAAACCTGAAACGAGTTCCAGAATCGCTCATCGCGTCTTCGATTTCGACATGATGCGTATTTCTGTGCACGTTCGAGCGTAAACAGTGATTTCGCGAACGGAGGAGATATCGCTGTCTTCTTATCGGACTTCTGCGCGTATATTCTGCGAATATGCATTTGATTCAGCAGGTATGAAGTACCGGAGAAAAGATAAGTAGAATAAGAGAATCTTTTTCCAAAATTTTCTTTTTTGAAAGCTCCATCGTTGTATTCGGTCGCATATTTGTAACGAGTTTGTAACGAATCGTGCAACTTACATCGAATTTGTTCGCTATTAATTGCGCTCGGAAAGCTGTATTTAATAACATAATATTATTACTACGATTCGTCAAGCTTACGAAATTGATAAAATCATATGACGAAATAACACCATTATGAAATTGGTGTGTTGTGCAGACTTTCGCTATTACATAATCATATACGCGCGCTAATATTCTTTTAAATATTTACATCTAATATTTTTATATACATAATATAATATAATAAAACTAATAATTCTTTATTAAATGTGTATGGTCTGTATATTATATATTGATATTATAATAATGTAATAACAATCTTTACCTTAATTCTCTCTTTTCTTGACTATACTTAGAGACATTCCTGTATTTCGGAACATAATCTTGCTAAAACTATGTTGTAAGTTGGTCAGACACTACGATCGATCGCTTTAATTTTATTATCTCACTTCGTGACTGCCGTACCTTGATCTCTTCTCTGTTCTACTTCTTTTTCTTTTGCTCGCTCTTTCCTGCTCGAAGCTACTTCTGTATTTTTCGTGCTCTTTCCTTCCTTATTTTCACGAACCCTTCGAGATCGCGTTACGTTCTCTCACAGTTTCTTTTTACTTCCTATCTTTTATGCAATACTAGAGGTACGTTATATCCCGAAGTTAGAAAATTCTTGAATGAGAGAGAAGGATTATCTTTAACTTGTGTTTTAATTGGAATATCGATCGCGTTAAGAAATATGTAAAGTACTTTTCCTTTATGGATATACATAAACTTGTTAACTTGTATTACCAACTTTTTCAAGACAGAGAATGGGAGAAATTATTAAATAAAGATGCATTAATATAATTGTTATATTCTTAACGATATCTTTTTTTTTTTTTTTTTTCAATAGTTGTGATATTGAAATCTTTGTGCAAAAGAGCTGTTCGATTCTTGTTAATGTTATCTTTTCTAACCGCGCGTCACATGGCTGCGGATAGCATCCATTCGCGTGCAACGCGGCGCACGGAGATGCACGATGGATTTTATATCGCGCGTGATTTACCACGCGATGGGGATGGAGGAAATCTCAGACGCGAATCTTACACGGCGAGAATTTTCTCTCTCTCTCTCTCCGATTTTTCGTTACCGGCCTATTTCACGCGCGCGCGTCGCTGGCAAAAATTCAGGCCAGACCGATAGATATCCCTTGTCACGTATCGACGTGCACCAGGAGAGATGATACGGATGCATTGAGAGCGATGCGAAACCTCGAGATGAGGCGCATCTTTTTCCTCGACATGGTGCGTGGAAATATATTCGTGCGCGATGTGTGCGGATGTGTAATGTAAATCCTCACAAATATCCGCGTAGGTCCTCTTCCATGGACCCGTGTTGTGGCAGGCGTTGGCGGTAATGGAATTTGACATTAGGATCGACGCGGTCGTTGTACGGGAAGAGGAAATATAGGCAGCTCTACAAGAGAGAAAGAGAGAGAGAGAGCGAACGAGACTTTTATCGCGAATACTGGTGTTCGTCGAAAATTCCAACCGCGAGTGTTCAATATTGTGAATGCGAGATAACATCGTACATGCGTGTATTTACACGCAGAGGGTAAAAGAAAGAGAGAGACAGAGAGAAAATATAAAGAAAAGAAAATATAAAAGAGATATAATATCTGTGTGTACGAAATTACTCGAGAAGAATTATTGAAATGATAAAAAAATATTAATTTGACAATTAATTAATAATAGTGTATTTGCACTTGCAGATTTTAATAATATTTTGTTTTTCTTTTACACAGAAAAAAATTGTAATAGGAGGATTAATAAATAATCACCGCAAAAATCTCAAAATTTGATATTAATGGACACTAATTAAGTTCTTTCAGCTTACAATTAACGGAAAGCGTTGTCTCATTGTCCATTAATTATACAGAGTTATATTAATATTTATTGTACATGTAACTTTAATAAACACAAAATATGGTGTAAGTGCAAGGATTATATTAGCAGATATTCAGATATGGCATGTAAATTACGTGAAAATTTGTATTTCCATTTTTTAATTACCATATTACTCTACTTTCAATTTTTCTTTTATATTCCTCGAGCTATAATCTTTTTTTTTGTATGTATATAAATCAGAATGGCAGACAATAGTAATTGTAAATTTCTCTTTTAAGTATTTGATACTATCTGCAAAATATAGTGATCACGAAGGAATACCCTTCTTTGCCTCAACATCTCTAATGTCCGAACTGCGATTATTATCGAGGCAATACGCGGTTGTTAATGGATTAAACTCGTAATTTGCGTCACAATCAATTATGAATTATCGAATCGCACCCGTAATTTGCCTATTAATTGCATTGTTAATTATAGATTTTTCGTTATAAGTGCACGCGCGGGACGGCGAATGCATGCGTAATTAATCAATTAAGGATTGTCGCGCGAGCGGAAGATTACGTGCTCTTGGCAATTCCATTTAGGGTCAGAGTCATTTGTAACGGTCCGTTACGTGCGTTACGCGTGGCTCTCTGTAGCTCTGACATTTTTAGTGCAAATTGCGATTTGAATATTTTGTACTCGCCATTGGCTTTGTAAATTGAACCGTTGTTTACAATGTCGTTAAAAAAGCTTTTACATAGTCCGCTAAAATACCAATAGTATCGCTATTAAATTAAAACAATGCTTCAATTGATTCAAAAGCAATAAACAAGATTAATCATTTTCATTTTCTTTCATCTACTTTAACTTCCATAATTTTTAAACGTCTTTTATCAAGATTCGTTTTCTTTTCTCTTCTGAGATTTTTTTTCTAATTTCTTTTCTAATATATCTAAAACCTTTTGTAATATCTTAACTTATTAATTATAATTAATAATTAATATTTATTAATACTAATATATAATTATCTTATTGTATTTCCAGATCATCCAAATATCAAGTGTTACCTGGGTCACGGCGGACTTCTTGGACTCTCGGAGGCTGTCTACATAGGACTACCGATGATCTTAGTGCCGATATTCGGCGATCAATTTTACAATTCGGCTGCAGCGAAGACCAGAGGTGCCGCGGTAGTACTCTCGTTCGATGATTTGAGCGAACAATCATTGAGACATGCTTTGGACATTTGTTTTAATAATACCAGGTACGCTACTGTTCAGTTTCTTTCAATCCTAGGATGAGAAATTTGCTGTTAGCTTTTTTCTGGCTCATATAAAGATATAAGTATAGATATATGTTAGAGAAAAAAAAGGTAAAAACAAATTTTTTTTTTTCAAGAAAATCTTATCGCAAATATATATATATTTTCTATTACATTGACGAATTATAAATCCGCGATAGTCTCGATCCATTTTGCGATAAGTTTTTTTATTATCGGCAAAACCGAGATTAAAACCGTCGCAAGATTAACAATTTAAATTCGTTATTATTATTTTATTCGGAGCATATCTGAGATTAACTTCTTCGGTAGACATATCTAATGAATGCAGATTTTCTGGAATTTTGCCGATGTATTTCTAGTGCAGGGTTACTTATGACAGTAAGTTTCCATGCCACTGATATCGATTACGTTAAAATTTCTCACGCGTGAGATGTCGTGGCGAAACGGAAAGCACGGAAAAGGATCGCAGTGAAAAAAAGGAGAATCGCATAATCTGTGCGGATATTCGCTCCGTTGAATATCTCACGAGCCGTCCGGATATACCGGATATCCGGCAAGTGCATCGTCGTTGCAGTGCGCAGCCGAGGCGCCTCGTTAATCCGTAGCGCGGCTCACTGGCGTTCCAACCCCCTTCTCTATTCTCTTTTCTCCTTGTCTCCTTTTCTACTTTTCTCATTCTCTCTCTCTCTCTCTTTCTTTCTCTTCTCCCCCGGTTTTCAATCCCCTTCATTGGTATCCCTTTCTTTTTATCTGACGCTGTATACCGCTGTCTCGTTCGTTCTCCAAGAAGATAGACAGCGTTGAAAAGAGCAAAAGGGAGAAAAGAACCATTGATCGGAGGGCACGGTGTATCCAGCACTCTTGGCGTAGCCCTCCGGCAGGCAAATTTTTTTTCCTTTCTTTCGGCACACCGTCACTCCCCTCGTTGCAAATTCGAGGCACGAGTCGCGGAAAGAGCGAACGTGTTCCCCGGATGGTTCTCCGGCACTCTTCATCCTCTCCCTTAATTCTTTTTTTCTTCGTCGATCGACGAACAAGCGAATGAGCGAACATAGCTGCCTCTCGCACGCGCGCATCCGGCATGGGAAATCGCATGGGAAATTTCGCGAGCATTAAATGTTTCACGGGGGCACCGAATCAACGGCGCGCCGTCGATGACGACGACGAGGCGAGGCCGAAATGAAATTTTACATTATTCAACGCTGCCTCCCCCAACCCATCCTCTTCCTCTCGTGCCCATCTCACTCTCTCCTCTCGCCAAGTACGGTCAACTTGTTAACCGCACGCGCCCTCGTTACCGAGCCAACCGCGAACTATAACCACTCTCCATAGTATACTCAGGGGTGTCGAACGCGTGAAAGATCGGTGAACGGAGGGTAACGAAGGGATCGGTGTCCCGTGGGATAAAGCGAAGGAACTATACCTTCGTTTATTTGACGTAATCAATTTCTGTAGAATTTTACAACGATGGCGATTTCCTACTTTGTAGAAGGCCCAGAAGAGATTTGATTGACAACTGGATTACAATTCTAAAAGAATAAAGAATAAACGCTTACGAGTTAAACGTCCATTAAACACGAAGAAATTAAATGATTTTATTATTTTTAATATTCTAATTATTTAGTAAAATTAATTTAATTTCTGAGATTATATTTATACTCGCAAGTTTCTGCGCTTTGAGAGATAGCTTAATTATAAAAAAAATGAGCATTCTCATTTAATTGCTAGTTTTCTTTAATGAATATATATTTTAATGCGCGAAATTCTGTGCCATTTTATTTTATTTTTATATCTTTATTCAATATTCCTTAAAATTTAAAAATGTGATATATGCGTAAAAACAATATTCTGCTGCAATATATAATTAGATGCGGAAAGAATATGCGTGCAGTTTTAAAATCTTGACACTTGTCATCATACTTTTCTGTGAAATTTCAATCCGTCTGTCTTTGTGATTCTAATAGCGCTTCTAAATTTATCATTATCATAAACTGTATGTATGCGGTTTCTATTTCCCTTTTTAACATGAAATTTGCATTTTACATTATGTGTCGAAGAATGACATTATATAATAAGTATGCGTGCATACGCAGTGTTTAAAACGCTAGCGAAACGCTAGATTTCCAAAGAGACCATATTCTTTTTTTTTTCAAAATTATTGTATTTTGCTATTTATACTATATTATTAGAGAAAATATCAAACATGTTGTTTAGAAGATGATTAATACGTTCACATAACTTGACACACATATTCCCAATTTAATGAAAATTATGTTTGCGAGTTATTCATAAGAATCTATTGCTAATTGTTAGGGCGTGTTAAGGAAAAAGAGAAAAACTGAACCCTAACTGAAACTTAATCCTAACAAAAACTTAACTCTATTTGTACCGTGGTTGATGAGATGAGGGTCGCAAAAGTTACAATCCCGTGTTACAATTCTCCTTTTGTCTTATCCAGGTTTCCCTGCTGCATGATTAAGTGTTTTTCGATACGTCGGAATAGATTTATTTTACATTGCGTAAAAAATATAAATATATATAAATGTCTATTCATCTATCAACTGCAGGCATTGATGACGTGGATGTAGCGAAGTAATTGTAGAAAATTACAAAACTAATAATCGTAACTGGATACTGTACGATTATTATTTACGATATCCTACAATTTATCAGTGTGGCAATCGCTTTTTACGATACTCTTGCGAATTTTCCATTGTGAGATCGTTATGAAATATGGTACGTTTAATTTAGCGAAACGAGGCGGCGCCGATGTATATCATCGTGCAAAAATTCGCGAACCGCTAATTACCCTGGAAATGGCCAACAATCGTGAGTTTATAAGGAAATTACGTTCTTTCCTCCTCTTTTACGGAACACGTTTATGCAGAAATTAATTCCAAGGTACCCCATTTACATTCACGATTATCAAATGAAATATAATTATCAACGTTATATATTATCGCAATTATAAATAAATAATTAAAACATTTTATACTATATAAATATTAAAATCGAAACTAATTAAAGCAGTAGCGATGAATTTATCGAAGCCACGGTTACATATGCAAATCTAAAATACGCGATAATAAATTTGTGATTGCGATGCTAAAACGTGCCTAATACATCGCGGTGACAACCGATACGCAAATTCTTTTCGCGCGATACACGCTACGGTGACGCGCGAATAATCCGCTCGAGCGAGATAAAGCTGGCTTAATAAATCAGAGCGGATATGAAATTGTTGCGCCCGGCTGCTCGTTTTCGCGTCGTACGACACTCCTTAACGTCGGTGTAATCACGATGTCGCCGGATTTACGAGCCGGCGCGCCTTGGACCTTTAGCTAAGGATTCGCTAAAGTTGGGCGCAATATATATACCTATATATATACACGCGCGATTCCAGTTTCATTATAATACCGTCCGCAGACACGAATTTATCCACTCGGCCTCTAGAAGACGATTCTCTAAGTTATAATCCTTTATCTTTTGTAATTCTGTCTGTTGGGATTATGAATATAGAGGGAAATTATAATAAAATGTGTAGTATCTATAGATATTATAATAAAAAAAAAAGATATATATATATATATAAAATATTAGTTATAATTTCAAATTTTTATTAATTTATTTATCATGAAAGATTTCATTTAACCATATTTAAATTGGTTACTTTGAAGGCAGCAATTTAAAAAAGGAATATTTAAACTGAGATTTAATTTTTCATGATTATATATTATTGGAAACTTTTCTAAAGTTTCTTGCATTGTAAATTATGCATTATCTTGCATTGTAAATTATTTCTCTGAGTCAACTCTTGATATGTAGAGATATAATTTAATTCTTTTTGTACTTATCAAGATTAAAATATGGAATTCCATTTTTGTAATATCCGCGTGGAAGACAGTTTCTAATTTATACAGCTATTCTAACCGGACATGCGTTTCAATGTTTCACATGTCGACAATGCGAAAATGATTATTGAAATGGATCACATGTGCGTCATGCTATTCAATACTCTATGGTGAATCCGCATTGTTTTAGAAAATACGGTGCAATTATTCGAACGTGATATTATATGAGCGAAGAGAATACTGAATTATTGAACGATTTGAAAACGCTGCTAACATCATTTCGCCAATGATGCCGCTGTTATACGGATCCATAACGTGATAATCACCGCGCGGTGCGCATTTACGAGTATGAAATGCATATTATAGTAAAATTGCGATACACGATCGGATACAGTTTTTCTACAAACCATCCCTTCAGTCTTCTTCTGTGGCCGTTAAAAATGTGTGTGTGTGTGTGTGTGTGTGTGTTGCACGGTTTATTTCAATAAACCTCGCATAACGTAATAACGCATGTGTATCTTTGACAGAACCACCACACAATTAAGAGTATCATAGAGGGAGGGGGGATAGTTTATTTTTAAAATATAGATAAAATAACATTTATTTAATTTACTTTCTCCTTCATATACGTAAAGAAAGATAAGTTATCTATGCAAAGATGCGACGGCATTGTTATCTTGGAATTATAATGCGAAATATATTATTAAAGAAATACAAGCGACACACATGGTTGAAAATATAGGACATTTTGTGAAAAGGTGAACGTGTTTTTAATATTACAATTTTGCGTTACAATGACATTCGCTTCGCATGGCAACTAAAATAATAGAAAGCTACGTGTATGATACAGCCTCGATAATGAAAGGAATTAATTAACGGTAGAACATTCGGCAAAAAGTAAATGTTTGATAAGGGAGCGCAATTCGTGGAATGAAATATTTACATTTCCCACCAACTTACAAAATAGTCTGCCAAACCGATGTAATAATGAGCGGAGTAAATCGATTTGATCGAGAGTGCGATTTTGCCCGATTTGTTTGAACATGCGGGTTATTTGTGGGGGAGGTCAATTAATTGAAATTGCGAAAGAATTGTTACGCACGTAATTATTCGATCCCTTAGTTGATATGGAGTTTCGGATTTACCGCAAAATATTTTAGAAGCAGATTTTCTGAAAAATTTAAAATTGATACATTTTTTTCATCACAGAAATTTAATTGAACTCTATTTATTTCTTCTTTTGATTTTTTATCATCTGTAATGACTTTTTTTATAACAATAAGAATATTTTCTCTATACATTCTTTTATTAAATTTCTCTTTGTCCCGATTTAATATAATTGAAAAATTATAAGTGCTTTCATACTTTTATTAAAAAGACAAATCTATTCCAAATTTATTATAAAATCTACAGACAAGATAAAGTATGAAAAGTCTGTGAGACTTTATACGTCCGAAGTAAAAGTCCGTCGTAATTCAAAGAACTTACTCTCGCTTTTAGATAAACGAATCATGAGTGCATTATCAGTAACGCAGAAGTTGGAAAGCATAGTGCAGACCCTTCTCGGGGAAATAAATTAACGATACCGAGTCTGTCCAATTATTTTGCCTCGGCCATCCGCCTGGCCAGAAGAAGGGGTTGTTACGCGACGCCGCATTTTCTCGTTTTCCGCGAAGCGCTTCTCCTCTTTTTTTTTTTCCCTCTCCTCTCTTTCCCGCCAGCTTCTTGGTCTACCTTTGTCGACCATTACATCTCTTACGAGCGAGCAGGTGCGCCGAAGTACTCGTAGGACCCGCACAGTTCTCGTTTCTGCCTCCAACAGAAAGAGTTCCCTTTCCTCTCCCCTTCACCCCTCTTTTCCATCTCTCTATTTCTCTCTCTTGCTTCCGCAAAGAATAAGAGTCCCTAGCACATTTTGCCTCTCGAATAAATCCGGAAGAGAGCCGTGGGTGAGCAAAGGCGGAAATGTCGGAGGGATAGCGGCAGGGAGAAGAAAGAGGGAATTGGGAGATGCTAGGTCGTTGGAAGTGGAACTCGTCGAGCGAAAGGGTTACTTGCTCGTGGGAAGGAGTAAGAACGAGAACAACAGGGCAATAAAGTAGACGAGGTGAGACCGGTAGCGGGGACAGAGAGCGAGAAAGATGACTGCAAAACGAAAGAAGCTGTGTGGGAGAAAGAAGAAGAGGAGAGGGACGAGGGGTGTCAGGCTAACTCGACGACGGAGCTGTACTACGTTATCCCTCAGCCGTAACCGAAGAAGAAGCACAGATAGAGAGAGAGAGAGAGAGAGAATCTGAGGATAGGCAGGAGGGTGGACACGGAAGAAGGGAAAGGGCAAAAGCAGGAAGAGGCTGAAGGTGCCTTACCTCCTTACAAACTGCCGAAACTTTGACTACCGCCGCCCTTACGTGCCAGCTTGCGCTCCTAAGTACATACTATTCCCATGGCTTGCGGTGTGCGTACGTGTGTACGTGTGTTTCTACATGTGCGTGTGCATTAAGTTAGGTCGAGCAAGATGTATAATGCGCGAACGTGTGTGTATATGTGCGCGCGCACGCGCCACCCGGTACAGTGCGCTTAAGTAACGCCTGCGAGTTATCGCGCGAGCTTTACCCTCGTGAATGGGGGTAGTTTGGAGTCGAATTTGATTATGGGTCCAAAGTACTTTCGTACTTCGTGATAGGAGGAAGTAGTGAGGTAAGGAGAAAGAGAAAGAGAGAGCGAGAGAGAGAAAGAACGATGTTAAGGGACTAGTCTCGTATCTCGCGATACACATATTCAACCCCTCATACGTTATAGTTGCGCGGGGTTAGTCTAGTTGGATCGCCATCGTGTCGAAACTCGTTCTTTTCAATGGCAAATCATAAGTTAACCGGAAAACTTAGGAAAGAAAGTTTGTTACGATTTTACGTTTGTCCCATCTTCTCTTTCACAAAATTGAATAAAATAGCTGTGCTGATTATGTTCGGAATGTTGATCTTATTTTAGCGGAATTATAGGACAAATTTGAAATTCAAATAAGAATCGACAGTAAAGTTCTGGAAAATCGCTCTGTGATTGTTTGGTAATTTGGTAGATCTGTGAGATATATATGTGTATATGTGTATAAAGAAAAGTCCAAAAAAAAACTTTTACCGACTTTGACCTAGCTTCGACCATTCATTAATTTGGTATATAAGTTTTTTTTGATAGAGGTTCTCAGCGCAATTTTAGAAGAATTCTCGGCGAGTCTGACACTAGTTTGTATTAATCTATTTGCAATTTTCTCTTTAGTATTGAAGCTTGTTTTCAAAAGACAAAAACTTGTCATGTTTGCAAGAAATATCGCTTATGAATATATATATTGTAGGTCATCCTAAGTATTTTAAAATTAGAATACTTTGATGATAATGTGTGTAATGTGTGTTATAATATTTAATATAACAATTGCTTTCATTTCTATATCATGTGAAAAATTATTTTCAGATTCTTGTTGGTAAAAAAACAATCAAAAGAATTTTTGGCAAGAAAATAACGAATTTGTACAAATCTTTTTCATAATTTTGATAAAATATAAAATAAAAGTATCTCGCAATTTTGTGCTTAATATTGCTTCTCTTCAAGATTATTTAAGAACATCATCTCATAAGCAAAATTGTGATTTTGCAAATCTTTTTCAATGATACAAAATTATATGTTGTGGCAAAAATATATCACTACCGCTGTACTATTACAGGCTGTAAGCTCAAGTTGGCTTATAAGCGCAATCACGCGCAGTGATCTTTGGGGATTGAACGGCCACTTCGCGTCCCCCGCATTTGCAGAGGAATGAGGGACGCAAAGGGCAAAGGAGAAGTCGGAGTTACATGGCGCTGGCACGGGTCACGGCTCTTTCGAGAAGTCGTAAACCGTACTCGAGAGCGTATTACTGTAATACGGTCTTAAGATCGTGCTGATTATATTTATCACTTGTGCAAACGCGCGGATATGTTACCTCCAAGAGTAACGTTGTACTCCAGTAACTGTCTTTTGATCACGATTCTCGCGGATGCTGTGTGGAAAACATTTTGAAGGAATAGT